TTTAATTGAAAGGACTTTTTTTTCCTTTTTTTTTTTATTTGTCTATGTATTCTTTTTTTTTTTTTAATATCTCTTCAGTAGACACAGTTTCCATGCTCTAATTACCATAGTTTCTTCCTGATCTTTAGACTTCATTTTAGTATCTTCTTTGAACATATGACTAGAATCATGCATAATACACCAGGAACTCATGAAAAAGCATATCCTTTACAATACTAATAATAATGCCTTCTTACTTATTATGACATCCTGCCTAATACATTATAGAGTCACATTTTTCTTTTCCCTTTACATAAGTAATGCATTTATAATAGCAACCTATAACCCCTTGCTGATTGCTTTAAATTTCTGAAATTTTTATAGTCTTGGATTTTCCCAGTTTATAGCAAAAGTTTTAATTCATGAGTTTGTAGAATGCATTATTCAATTTCACACTATTTCTATCAGCCTAGACCAAAGGAAAGCAATATATAGACAGACATTAATTGAATTTAGAAGTACTGACATGTTAAAATATAGACAATAAGACTAAAATTGTAAAATATTTACATAGTATATATGTGCATATATGTGTATATATATTTGCACATATATGTATCTCAACACATCTGTTTCTCAGAAAGACCTCTAATTTTGTCTAAAAATTCTGTCCAGACCCACTTATCTTATACCCTGAAATCAGTGCTATGTGTATTACAAAGTAGCTGATCCTTTCAGTATTTTAGGACATAGAATTGCTGGACCAAATGCTTGTGGCACCATACACTGAGGATGTCTCTTACCCTATTCCTATTTTCACTAGATAACAAAATTTACATATCTTCTTACCAGAAACAGAGGCAACTTTTCTGGAATCTATTTGGTTTGGGCTACTTTATTCTTAATGTCCATCCCATCTTTTAACAATCATCCCATTTCTTAAGTTCTCATTTTATTTACATTGCTTAAGAAGTTTTTACTCTATTTCAGGTTTCTGTGCAAATTTTGGCTTAACAAGATTTCTGACCATACTCAGTTTGGTTTTATTCTTTCTAATTATTGACGCAGATTTCTTCTTGCTAATCAATATCTCTTTTTCATTATCTTTAGGTTTTGTGCTTACTCTTAATAACTTCTACCTTCTGGGAATTCTTTTTCATTCCAGTTTAGGTAGACTATTTTGTTTCTCCCCTTCTCCTCCACTGTAAAAATTTAATAATATTTGCTTTATTTTTTACAAACAGTAGCATCTTTCTTATCTGAATTCTTCTTCCAGTACTCACTAAACTTTTTTATTTCTGAGTTTGCCTTTCTAAAACACTGGACTGGAGTTACAGATCCTTCACATTCTTCTGTCTTGAAACTTCACATGAAGTAGAAAAGCTCCAAACCATTATATTTATTTTTTATCATTAGCTTATCCTGGAAATCCTATAATTTACTACAGTTTAATCTAAATTATCCCTATCTCTTGCTTGCTCAGTATCTGTTCCATAAAAGTTGTCCTCTATCACAATCAAATTCATGTCATCCCCAGCAACATTGGTTGAACTTTTAGCTGATGCTTGCCCATAATAAAAAACATAAGTCTGTATGATGACACAATCTCAGCTTTAGCCTTATTCCCCCCCTCCCCCCAATATATGTAGGCATTATTTTCCAGCTCAAAACTGGACCAGCAGATTCATAATAGATTGCATCCCTAGTATTTTTCCTACCTTTGCTCAATGGTTTTCATTCAAGTGGACACTATCTCATTTTCACTCTCAAATATAACATTTTTATTGCACTATTGTTAAAAGTCTTCACTCCTTAACACATTTTAGTGCATTACCATGAAATTATTTCAACACTTTCTTTGTTTTTCACAGAGTGTCTATCCTTATGTTCCAATATATTTCATTCAACTAGTTTGGAATCTCCAAATTCCTGTTTTCCCTTGTCTGATTCCATGTGACAGATCAACTGTTCCTGCCAATGTTATAAATTGAAGTACTAGAGAAAGAGGCTAGAACTGAATACTTACAGGTTGTACATATAATGCATGTATGCCTCATATGCTTTTGCTGAAATATCTTTACTCTTGCTCCATCTTCACTCAGGTCCCTCTACTTGTATTCCATATGAGGATTATATTAATTATTCCCAACTTTCTTCCTGAGTATTTAGATTTAAAGGAGTTTAGGATTTCCCAGTTTAATGAAAGGTAGATGAAAAATAAATTAGCAAGAGGCAACAGTAGAATGAAAAAAATTCACAAATTTAGTATTATTTACTGCTTGATGCTTTTGCTTTGGTTTAAAATGGCAGTTCTAGTTCAAATATTCAGATATCACTTTTCACTACCAGAAATACTTTTGGACTAAGAATAAGAATGAATGGAACAACAGCATCATGGTTCTACATTAATAACTATTTAAATCACCCACATGCTACTAAAACCATCTAACAGTGTAACAACTTGGAACTAAGATTTTATTAAATCAGACTTTCTAATTATTATGCTTTTTAATATCTCATTAGTACAGGATCAGAAAAATTAAACTGAAATATATATACAATGTTGACTTTAACATGATAGCTTTGAACATGATTACAGAGTTATGAAATGCCAACTTCTCCAAAACAGTTTCAAGAAGTAGTTAAGCTCAGCCTAGCTGACAAGGTTATGTAAAATATCTTTCTCTGTTATGAATAAAAAAGTATGTGTGTCTAATTTTGTGTGTCAGAGAGAAAAATAGCATAGAATCACAAGCAGATGCTATAAAAATGACAGGCCTAAAAAATGCAAGCAGAATTATTAATTCAATGCAGAATTATTAATTCAAAATAAAGATATATTTCAAAAATAGAGGCCATAAGAAACTCCTGTAAGACATCTCTGTTCAGTAGCTGTGATTTTTTTTTGTTCCACTATCATAAATTCCATGTTGCCTATTAGAAAAGCTTAAAAGAGAGTACTTAGGTGGGAATAAAAAAAATAAACAAGTGTATGGGGTGTGGTTTGGTATTTTTTCCTGACTGAAAGTAGCACCTTGGAACACAATCTAAAGCCATTCAAAACCTTCCACTGAATTAACTGTGTTTGAATCAAAACAGGAAAGTCAGTAATCCTTTAAGAATGTAAGTAAGTACTTTGTCCCACTGAGAAGATTTCCAAGAACTTCTTCTACAAGACCAGGAAAATTACTTGGTCTATATAAGGAATTTGTCTTCCATCCAAAAACTAGATCTTGCCTATTTCAGGCCTAGGGAAACTGGATTTGAGTCACACTCCATTTATGTTTGCAGAGAAGATGAATATGCCTTTTAGAGAAGGCTGAGCATTACCAAAAATATTACTTTTCAGCAATAACTTTTGGGTTTAGCATGTTGGGATGTCAAGATATGAGTTAAAAGAGGTCTGCTGAAGATACAGATGTGCAGAAATCACATATCACAGACAGTATTGTTCAATGCTTACACTAGAACAGGAAAAACAGAGGGACAAATACATCTAGCATTACCTTTGAGTTAAAGCTGGATTCCAACCTCTGTGCTGTGCACATGGGGTGTACTCCATGTGTTCCTGTGTGCATAACGCCATTAGATTTACTACACTTATGTACTGTGTACTACTAGATTTATGTACTACATTCTAGACAGCACATAGCAGCAATTAATACGCAAATGCAAACACGTGCATATCTTTGCATGTACACAATTATACTGCCTTCTAAATATTACTATTTTTTTTTAAGATCAGCAAAACACGCAATTTGACCGAAAATAAAACCCGAAGTTAATTCGGAAAAAAACATCCCCAGAGCTACAGCCAGCCTGGCACCGAAAAACCGTCTGTGGTCCGCATGCACACCTAATAAGGGTGGTTATTCCCCACCGCTCGCCGCGGCGTCGCCTCCTCCGCCCCCGCCGGGGCCGCTCCCGCCGGGCCGGGCCGGGCCGGGGCAGCGCCCGCGGGCGCCCCGCGCGGCCCGTCCGCCGCCCTGCGCTGCCACCTGGCGGCGGCGGGAGGGGCCGCACCGCGCCCGCCTGGAGCGCCCGGGAGCGCGACCGGCTCCGCGGGCCCCGGCGCCGCCGCGGGGAGCGGCCCGGCGGGCATGAGGGGCGGACAGTCTCTTGGGTGCTGCTGTTGCATCCGTGCCCCGGCTCCCGCCGCGACCCACCTCTGGGGCGGGCAGAGAAGAAAAGTGAAGCTAAACGGCTCCGACTCACGCCCGCCTCCCCGATGTCGGAGAATGCGCGTAGCACACCCGTCACTTTGTTTCACCGTGACCACCCAATACCCCGCGGTCCCCGCGAGCGCCGCGGAGGCTCCCGAACAGCGAGCAGCGGCAGTGGCGACCGTCGCGCCACCGGCTCCCGCCGGCCCCCTCCCCGCGGCTCCGCTCCGCGCCGCCCGGCTGCGGCCAGGGAGCGCCGCGGCAGAGGACGGGGCGGCTGCGGACCTCCGCCCGGGATGTGCGGGCAGCGGCAGCGGCGTTCCAGAGCGGTGGAGGAGCGCGGGGAAAGTTGGCCCGTGCCGGTGAACGTGCGAGCGCAGCCCCGCGATGCGCGGGGCGGAGGAGTGGCGAGGCGGGCGCGCCGCGCCCGTATCGGCATGTGTGTGCCTGCGCGTGCCCGTGCGCTGGGTGCCCGTGCGGGCGGGCTGCGCGACGCCCCGCGGGGCCGGCCGCTGCCGCCGCCGCGCCGTCCCCGGGGCCACCCGCCCCGCGGCCCGGCCCGCGCCGCGGCCGCTGCGCCGCCGCCCCCCTCCGCGCCCCCCCGCCCCCGCCCGGCGCCGCCGCCCCGCCCTCGCTCCCCTCCCTCCGCCTCCCCGCTGCGCTCGGCGGCGCGGGCACAGCGCGGAGTTCCGCCGGCCGCCCCCGCCGCGCGGGCGCGCGCCGCAGCGCGCGTGCGTGGCGGGCGCGCTCCCGCCGCTCCCCGGGCGCGCGCGGGCGCGGGCGCGCGCGTGCCAGTGTGAGTGTGCGGCGCGTGTGGCCGCGCGCGCGCGCCCCCGAGCGCGCGCTGTGCCTCGGCGCCGCCTGCGTGCGGGGGGTGCCCGCGCGCGCTCCGCACCGAGCTCCCCGGCGCTGCCAGCCTCGCCTCCGCCGCCCCGGCGGCTCCGCGCAGCGCCCGCGCAGCGGGTCGGCTTCTGCATGGGCTGCCACCATGCTTGGGCCCTGGAGATTTCGGGCGAAGTAAGTACCGGGCTTGACTTTTCTCTCGCTCTCTTTCCCTCCTTTCTTCCTTCCTTCCTCATTCACCACCACCCTCCCCCCCTCGCCCCCCCCCTCACCCGCTTCTTCCCCGCCGGGTCTTTCCTTGCTGTTGCTTCCCACCCCTTTTTCCACGCCGCTTGCCCCTCTCCCCCGAAAGCCAATTCTCCCAACTCGGGGTGCTGCTCAGTTCGGTGGCAGTGTCCGGCTGGAGCTGCTCGCTCGCTGCTGCTGTCGGCGGTACTGAAAGCTGTTTCCAGCCGGATATGCAGTGCGGTAATCTAAGGGTTGAACTCTTCGGGGAAAAAAAAAAAAAAAAACCACACACACACACGCAAGAAAAATCCCGATGCAACCCCTTTCCTCTTCTCCCCTCCCCCCCCCGCCCCCCCCCCCCCCCCCCCCCCCCCCCCCCCCCCCCCCCCCCCCCCCCCCC